CTCTGCCAGTTTAGCAGTCCTAGTTGTTTTTTCTTTTTTTTTTTTTTTTTAACCTAAAGTGAAGCCTATGGCTTATCTTGTAGCCCTCATGCCAGTGTAGTTGTTTAACCGGTGTTGTGCATGTCAATTCTGTCTCCTTTGTCAATGAGATGTGTTACTCCAGATTTGATATACAGGAAATGTTTATAGTGAGGGTTGACCACACTCTATCAGGCTGAAAGAATGTTTGTTTCAGTGGTTAAGAGTTGTTCGTAGTTAAGTAACTTTATAGTTACTAAAAGGTTGTTTATTATCTGAACAGGAGGTGGCTCCACCTTACCATGATCAAGAAGCATCAGCATTTCTAACACTAGGTGGAAGTAGTCAGCACATCTCCCAATGATGTGTTTAGACCTGACCTCTTGATTTGTGTTATGAGTCATAGGGAAGTGCTTTTAAGTAGGAAGAAGTAAGATCTTAATCTGAACATGGAAGCACACAAACAGAGTGGGTGGACGATGATCCAGATATGAGGTACATGCGTGTCCTCTTCGCTTAAAACTTTATTTTGGCTGAGTGTTTCACATAGGGATTGGACCTCAGCCATGGGGAAATGTAAGTATCCTGACAACTTGTTAGTAAAACGAAGTGGAAAAATCTTGCAGAAAATAGAAGCAGAGAAGAGAAGAGAAAAAAATACTTCTATTACTGTGTCTAAGCTTAGTAACTGTTGCAAATGTACTTTTCTCTTTTTTTCTCTTGTTTTCTTTGTTGCTTATCTGACAAAGGGTATTTTGATGTAAATGTAAATGTCAAGCGGTTACATTTTCATGGCTGTGCTGTTGCACAAATGTAGTATGCTGAATGACTCTTTCAGTATGGAGTGCCCCAGTATTCACAAATACCGCAGTACTTAGAGCAAGTGTGAGGGGCTAAGAAAAGTGGAAGTCACAAAAGCCAGTTTGGAAAATTGTATTGCAAACTCTTAGCATGCAGGAAATGTCTCCTAGAAACCACATTAGCATTGGCATGCAACAGGGCACTGGAAAAAGTGACTGGACTTTAAGGGATTAGCGTAAACATAGCATGGTTGCCCACAAGTTCTAAAGCTGGCATTGAAGTTTTCTTAGTCACTTTTATTTACTGTTTCTCAAAAGTCACAATTCTGTCTGTGCTATCATGGAAACAAATCCCAGATATTTTTGTTCTTTAAATTAAGACTGAAATTGACTTGGCTTGAATATCTAGAAACTTCAGAGATTTAATGAGTTTCTGTGTTGTATTTTATTTAAGATGTCTACCTTCATATATCTGGTTAGGTGCGCATGGAAGTGACGAGTGACTGAATCTTGTTGAATAACCAATCTTTTCTATGTTGGATAAGCAAACACTTTGTAACCACTGGAGGACCAACTTTTTGGATCCATCTTTGAGGTCGATCTCTGTGACTTGAACCTGACGAGACGCTTTCTAAGCTAAACCAGAAAGTATTCCCATTTGAATCCCGGTTGAGAGACTGTGATCTGGATGTCTGTGGCTTACAACCTTTCTCTCTAGCTTGTTTTCACACAACCTCTTCTTTCCAGACAGGCATTGTGTAAAGTTTTTTGGACACATAAGGTTCAATCAGGATACTGATTCTCACCTTTCGTCTGGTGCAAAGAGGTTTGCCTGGCTAACATGACTCTGGTACTGGTGACTGACTGTTTGTCAGACAGGAACACGGAACTCCTCTCTTCATCCCGTTTCTCTTTTTGGAATTGTCAGTATGGTGTAACGGGTTAGACTCATCCCTGACATTTCTTTTGTTCCCTCACAGAGCGCATAATGGATCATTCTTACTGGTAGAGCATGCAGTTTCTCACTGTGAAGGGAAGTGGGTATAAGTATCAGTAGAACCTGTTTGAACCTTTACTAGCAAAATAGGCAAGATATTGTCTATAGTGGTGTTTTTGCAGCTGTGTTCTTCCCAAATAAAACTTTAGACTCACTTGGAATCCAGGTGCAACTTCTATGGCTGATGTGCACTTAGATAAATAGCAATTCCAAGATTCTTTTCCTTAGAGTGGTCTAAGCAAGTCTGAATTTATATTTATAACTCTGTATTGCTTAGCAAGGCTTATGTGCTAATGGCTGGTTAGATGTCTGTCATGAAGTTTTTGTTTTCCCACTAATTTCCCACTGATTTGCTGGCATCAGACTTTGTTTAAATTAGCTAGATGTATGGTGAACCATAAGCTTCAGTGATCAAATCATAGAACCCAGGAAAAAGAATATTCATTGCTCCACCAGACACAGACAGCATCTGCATGACTTCCTCAATTTACATATGTAATTTTTCTGCAAGCTCTTTTAAGCATCTAAATCTCTTCTGGGTAAGACAGCTGCTTATACTGGTCAGCGAAGATTAAGGTTTACCTGAGTAATCTTCTGAGACTTTTGAGGAGAACATAGTTCACTCTTCATCTCTGGCTTCTAGCAGTACAAGAAATTAGTGGCAGTTCCTGTCAGGTCCCTGACAGTGACTTGTCCTGAATGAAAGTACTTTTTATTTCTCTCCCTAGGTCTTTGTTTTCTGAAGGTCTGGTGAACTAATTTAAACAAGGTTTTAAAAATCAAAATTGTAACGAACTACTGATAGGAAGCAAAGCTTTAAAGAATCAAACTCTAGAAGAAGATGAGCTATAAAAGCAATAGAGGGTTGAGATTCTTAATCTTGTGAAGAAAGCTCAGTTTTGAACAAGTCAATTTTCTCATGCCTTTATGTGGGGATATGAACTGGAAGAGGATACTTAACCTGTCAAACATATTTTGATTTCTCGTTTCTATTTTAATTTCACTGTCTTGAATCTCTTTGAATACTTTCCACTGGATTCCTGTCGGGTACATCTATCTCTTCTTTGGTCAGTGCCTAGGGTTCAGTAAGCTAAACACACTGTCCTGCTTGCAATTAGGAACCTGTTTCTCACAGTCCAGAGATCATCAGGAATCTCTGTAGCTGAAACACTAGTTTTCCCAGTGCTTCTCTTTTTATAGGCATGCTAATTCTACAAGTTAATTCTTCAGTGACTTGTGACAACTGCAAATGAACCATCTGCAGATATGTCTGGTTTTAAATGGAATTGCTCTTACTTCAGACAGCAAGAGAATGATATGTTGGCACTTTTTACAGGTGTCTGCTTGCTCCTGCCTCTCTTCCCTCATTGTCCCAGGATTTTCTTAGGGCTGAAGTTTCTATATTTCTGGGAGTTCATGTTTCCTTTCAACCGTATCTTGGGTAAAACCATCCTGTTGGCAGATGTTGACCTGTTGAAGGATGCTAAGGAGTCCTTCCAAACTGAAGCAGGAGGTGGTTTACTAATTCTCCCGTAAGGGCAAAGGGGAGTAGGAGCTGATGTTTGGAAGGAATAATTCAGTTAAGAGTCTAGATCAAGCTACGTTTGAGAATAATCTTAGCAATAGGGAAGTACAGTGGTTGTATTTGTGCAGGATTTGTGGATTTTTTGTATTAAATATGTTAAGCAGATAAAAGCCCTGGGAAAAGACAAAATTTAAGCCTTTTGACAGACCTTACTGTGGAGTAGGTTTGGTAAGCTCTGTGCTGTTGCTGCTTTTCTCTTTAGTAGGCCTTCCATGGACATCCGTTTCAAAAGTCTTTCCTTTTGTGTGTGTGTAATTATACAAACAAAATTTAAATTTATTGCTAAGAGCTTTTATTTTAACATCTGTTAATGTTTCTCACTCTTTAAAATGTTGAGAGTCAAGATGCAGTCTCACATATTTGCTACTTTGTTTTACTTTTCCAAAATGAATTACTTCAATTGTATTTATATAACCTTAAATGTACTTATGTTAAATGACATTTTAATATTAATTCCGTTTTCTTGATCCCCCTGATTTAACTTGAAGACAAGAGACATTTTCAGATGTATTTTTCTTTTCAGTTCAGTTATCAGTCGAAGTGAAAAGATTTTATTGATAGAAAGCAGTGTAGTTAAAATTGCATGTGAATTTCCATTATAGCGGATCTTTAGTTACTGCTTTTGGTAAAAGTGTTTTTCCAGATGAAATTCTGTGTCCAGGCCTTTATCTACGTATCTGGTGATTGCTTCTCTGTTTATTGCAACTCAAAAGACTTTTTTTTCAGCTTGGATCACTTAAAAAAAAAAGTTTAGTAAAAATACAGGTTACTACTTCAACTTCTTGTAGGCAATTCAAGTTTCCAAGTAGATTCTTAGCATAGTCATTTGCATTTTTGTGCTTTTCTAGATGTTGTAAGAACAGGTAAGAACAATGCAACAGTTTAATTCAGAGAATCCCATTTTGCTTAAACTACGCAAGCATATACGTGTGTTCTTCTGTGTAATGATATGTCATAACTGACTAAAGTAGTCAGGGTATTTGTTAAATGAGATAATGAAATCCTGGTAATTGCTAGACAAAAATGTAACAGAATAGTTACAGGTCAAGGAACACAGCCATAAAAAAATACTACATTTGTGTTTTAAAACTTCTGGGCACCTTAATTAGAAATTAGGTGCCAAAGACAACATATTTTTGAGGAATTTGGTGTCTTCTCTGTGCTTCATTTGTCTCGTCACTGAAATCGTTGATAGTGTGTTGATACCCCGTTGTATTTTGGAACATACAGGGAGTGGTTATGTTGCTTCAGGTGACAGCCTTGGTGAAAAAGCAAATAGTCAGGGAATAGATAGAATACTTAATTTGGTCTTTCTGCTTCCTGACTCCAGCTGCAGTTTTCTCGATTGTAAAAAATGCAGCAATAACATAACGCTACATCAATTTCGTTCAGTAAATATAACATAATAATTTAATATTCTAGATATATAAAAAATGTTTTATATGTATTTCTTGGTATGAGTTCTTACAGTTCCAAAGTATAAGTAGTTCAGATACATCCGGCTGGTGTATGGATTCCTAAGATACTGAATTAATAGAATAGTCTTCGTGTCATGTTTACCATCTCTCTGGACTTAAATTTCTTCAAAATATACTTTTAGGCAGCTACAGTGAGAATAAAGAAACTGGAAGAAAACATTGAAGCAGAGAGGGCAGCACATTTGGAATCCAAATTCAATTCTGAGATCATCCAGGTAAACTTTGTTAAATATTTTGTAGAAGTTTACAGTAAAACAGTTGATGTTGTAAAGATAAAATCTTCCAGAAATGTTAAGACCACTTACTTGCTTCAGTGACAACACTGTATAGTTTTTTTTGCAACAAGTTTCGAAATTGTAATAGCTAATATAGAAGAGGAGAGAATAGAAAAATATCTGCTTTTCGAAGAACATTAAAGTTGTTAGAATAAATAATAAAGTAAAATGTCACATTTGCAAGTTTGAGAATTCCCACTAGCATTTAAACAGTGAGGGGAAAGGAAATGTTTCACAATAGTTAAACACTGTACTGCTGTTTAAATATGCTGCTCTGTATCTTTTGAATGGGCACTTAGGGCCATTTGGAGATACAGTGCATACACCCAGCTTCTCTAGGAATGAGAGTTTAAAGCATGCTGAAACTGCAGTTCCAAATATAATTATTTCAGAGTATATTTCATTTTCAAACAAAGTTACGATATCTGCGTTTACTAGTGAAGGTTGATTATATGAAAAAATGTAGTATATATACTTGAATATTAAATCTTTGTATTATTAAACTGTATCACACAGGGTTTGACCCAGTAAGGCAATTATGGTTTATTTTAAAAAGGAAGCGAGGTAAAGCTAGGTGGTGATTGATTAGTCATCTCATACCTACTAACAAGCCATTCACACCAGACTTGCGAAAAACTAAGCAAAAAAAAAAAAAATTTGGTATCTTTCTTTTTTTTTGTTATTTTCTGAGTAACAAAAATAAGTACTGACATTTTTCAGTCAGTTATTTTCTTATTCTCATGATCTTCTCAATGTACAGGCACTTAAATTTTTTTAAAGTGACAAAGAAACTGGTACAAAGGAAAGATTCAGTTTTCTTAATTTCCTCTCTCTACTTTTACAACATACAAAGGAAGTGAGAAGGTAACATTCCTTAAAGTTACAGATGTATCTTTTATGGGTGAATAACTGGTAAGGTTTTCTTCCCTGTTCGTATATGCAAACAAGTTTCAAGTGTGCTTTGTGCTGAGCGGAAGTGTAGCCTTTACTGTTAATCCCACACTTTCATGAATCTACTTAAAAAATAGAATTCCTCTGGAAAACTTCAGTAATAACCAAAAAAGGAAAAATCCAGATACCACCAAAGGAGAATAAAAGGTGATTTTGGTCAGCATATCTATTTGTCTCTGTTTTGAACCATATGTATTCATACATTTTTACATGTGTTCAGTGCTTTCTGTGTATATACTTCTGTATAGAATGAATAGAACATAGAACAGCATTAAAGATAGTGATAGCTTTTGCTAACTTGCTTTAATTGCGTTCTTATCACTTGGTAGTTAAGAATTCGAGACCTTGAAGGAGCTTTGCAGGTGGAAAAAGCCAGCCAAGCAGAAGCTCTCTCTGATTTAGAAATGATCAAGAAAGAGTTCAAAGAGGTAGAAAATGCATATGAGAGAGAAAAACACAATGCCCAAGAGAACTTGGAAAAACTCAATGTGTAAGTTACCTTTTAAATTAATTGTAAAATTGCAGTAGACAGCTTAAGTACCACTTAAAGTTTACATTCTATATAGTTTTCAGTCACTAGAAAACAACACAATCTGATGCAGTTTGCAAAACCAAGCCAAGGTTAAGAACCTTGCATTCCATTAATAACAGGTCCATATCAGTAACTGTATCAGTATTTTCCCTACTTACCCATATTATGCATAGTTACAGATTATTTGCAAAAGCAAAAATGTTGAAAATAATTCTTATGATAGGGTCCTGTCTCCAGTAGTGTTTGGGAGGAGTGTAGGAAAACGTGGCAGGTTTAGAACAGGGGTGGTTTTTTTGGTTTTGTTTTTTTTTTTTTTTTACCTGTATACACTTACATTATTATGAAAACATTACTTTTCACTTCAGGGAGCTAGATGAATCTTTAAGACTTCTGTCTAGAAGTTGTGTATAATTTATAGCGAATAATCTTTGTTTTCAGCTTTTGGATAATTGTGGAAAGTTTTAACTTAGTAATGAAAAATAGAAAAAGGGGTGAAGTGTATGCTAAGCAGGAAAGGAATCCCAGGTAATTTCATGTGCTCTCACAATATGCTGTGTCTGTCAAACAGTTTTTGGAAGAACGGCTTTCTTATATTCCCCAGGCAGATAGAGGATGCACAGTACTGAGTCTTCTTCCATGGCTGAATGAAGTATATATTGGGGTGAGAAAATGTCAGGATGAATGGTGTTGGAAGACATAGAAC